TGAAGGCAAACGGAGCTCCCTCGTTATTATAAATATTTCATTAGAGAAATAGGTTCCTGCAGAAATTCACATATCAACGGATATGAGCAACCTTACAATCAAAATATTAATCATTTTAGTAAGCCACAAACTTCCAGGAAAAAAAAATTATCGCTATCCAAGTCAGTCGTTTCGACATTCAGTCTTTTGCAATCGTTAGTGTCTAGCAGTTGAACGATTAAAATCGGGGAATTGCTGAGAGTTTGTAACCCCTGTATTCGTAGGCTTCAAAATTTTTAACGATTCTCTGGTAAGTGAGATAGTGCGCAAGACATTTTACTTTGAATGTTTAAAATACAGTATATATTTTGTATATTTTGTATGTTTCATTTTTTTAATATTTAAAAACAATTATTTCAATACATATATCGATAAATAAAATTTATATGAAAGATATCAATGAATAATATATATAATAACGTTGTAACGCTTTTCAGACGCGAGACGCATCTTGATTATATCGCTTTTTGATTTTCATCTGATAAGCAAATATTGCAAACAATCCATAACCATACGCAAGGATGTTTTCTGAAAATAATCTTGGCATAGATTATTCCAGCATATCTAAACACAAACTACGATTGCGTGTTTGTAACAACGAAAGAGATGTTGACGAAATTTCACGTAGCTTCGCTGAATATTTTATCCACGTGTATATCGACAGACGTCAGAAAACCATGATGAATCAGCATCCACTTGTGAATACGAGTAGAATTACAAAATTCAAAGATTTATGTAACAAAGATATTGTAGGCAGCCATTTTTCCATCACTGACGTCATAAATAAATTTGATTTTGTTTCCGGGCTAAGCCATGAAATTGCAGATCATTATACGACGCATTCAAATTTCAGAAAGTACAGTCTGCCGATTTTTATTATTCTCGGTCTTTTAGGGAACTGTTTGTCCGCCATTGTGCTCTTCCGTAAAAAGATGCGTTCTTCCTCGTCCAACATCTACTTGGGCATGCTTGCAATATGCGACATCGCCTATTCAATGATATTACTTATTGACTGGCTTTTTTTATTGGATTATATAAATCCAGAAAGAATTTATTTGTATTATTTATATATCTTCGTAGACTTTCTGTTCTCCTTCTCCGAGTTCTTAAGTGTGTGGCTTATAGTAGCCTTTACTATCGAGAGATATATAGTGACAAAGTATCCGCTTCTACGTCGATTTTGGTGCACTGTCAAACGAGCAAAAATTGTAGTGATCATACTGATGGGACTAGCGATTTTGAACGGCATTTTAAATATTTTTTATAATTTTGGAACCGTATACTATGAAATATTAAGAAGAGTAATGAATAGCTATGATATATACAAACTTCTACAATTGGACCCAAAAAAAGTTCAGCTAATAAAAAAGATTATGGATTCTATTATAATATTTAGTCTACCTGCTCTCGTGATAATAATCTGCAATTTTCTGATCGGATATCACATTTATCAGCAAAATCGTGTTCGCAAAACCTTGGTTACAGCGTCCGATTCCTCTAATGAGAGAACTCAGATTTTTAAGGATAAAATGCTTCAGCATAAGATCACAAAAATGCTTATTCTCGTTTCGAGCATATTTCTAATCTTGAAATTACCTGCACATTACTTTTATTACTTTAGGAATTACGTAAGTATCAATAATTCAATTTAAAATAATATCGACCATATAATGTGTACATTATTTACTCTAAAAATGCATTCTGTATATAACAAAAAAATATTAATTAATTTTTCTCTCAAAATTTGAACTTTTAAAAATAAATTATAATGTTTAATTTTTACATTAAGAATGTCATTATATAATATTTTTACATTAGATATCCGCGTAAGAAATAGCGTTAAGATATAACACGTTATTATTAATAGTTATATATATAATAAAATAACAATAATAATTTTCCTAGTTCCGTGAATATGTCGATGTGTTTGTTGTGATAACAATATTCGACTTATTAGACACAGCACATTACAGTATAAATTTGTTCTCTATTGCGCAACGGGACAAACTTTTCGCAGAGAACTAATCCACATGTTTACGAAACGTACAAATATGAGAAAAACAGAAATATCAAAGAGATGTACAATTATAAATAACAGTATAATTGATGTCCAGTTATGCAGTAATAATAAGGTAATATCATAATTAAACGCGGTGTTCTATGTATACTGTAAAAAGAAATCGATAAATTTGCAAAACTAGATGTAAAAATTACAGCTGGTTGAAATTTGGAACGTTCCTTTACCGATTTTTGAAAAATCATCTGTCGCTCTTCTCTTTTTGCACAGAAAAAGTTTTGAGACCCACAAACAAAATACAAAAGATACCGATCCAATACATTCGTCGGAAGACACTCTTATACCCGAAAAACCTTTCACAAAATCACTTTAAAAATTCTTACCAAGTTAAAAATGATTTGTCGCTCTTCTCCTTTTACACAGAGGAAGTGCCGAGACCTTCACACGACATTCAAAAGAGACCGATCCGATACATGTGTCAAAAGACACGAAGAGAATTTTTTATGTGATTTTGGGAGAGGTTTTCCGAGTATAAGTGTGTCTTCCGACGCATGTATCGGATCGGTTTCTTTTGTATTTTGTTTGTGGGTCTCAAAACTTCCTCTGTGTAAAAGAAGAAGAGCGATAAATCATTTTTAAAAAATTGCTTCAAGAACGTTCCAAACTTCAGCCAGCTAAAATTACATAATAAATAACGAAAATTTACTAAATATGTATAAGTATATTGTAAATTTACATATTTTCACAAATTTTATATTATTTACTTAGTATATTTCCATTATTCGTCAAGTAATTTTTACATTTTTGTTATGTAAATTTTCCGAACTTTTTGATAGTGTGCATAATTATGTTACATTAATCAAAAATTCTTTTATAATTTTTGTTATATGACCTTTATAATTAAATGAATGAAAGCATAAATCAGCCAATTTTTTTACAATTTGAGAATACTTTGCATTTTGTTACAACTTGCAGGTTTACGTCTAATCGCACTTCAAACAAAACAGTGTATTTGTTAACAACGAACAACTGAAAGTTTCTCAAGAGAAGCTAACACTTCTGACATACACGAGAGATTATAATATGGTATACATTATAACTTCATAAAAATATAATTAACTACAAATAGCTAAATAAGATAGTTAAACATATTATTGTATTAAAAGTGTTAAAAATAAATCAAAAACAACAATTGGAAAAATCTACTACCTACATATATGTACATGTAGGTAGTATGTACAATGTTTTAGCGCATCATACAGAAAACAACAGTTTTATCAATTCTATTAATGAATGTGGACCTATATATTTTAGAAAAAAATGTTGATTTAATTATTTGAAATAGGAAAATTATGACATCATAGATTGTAATACAAAGACCATTTGTTGTCATCAAACTTATGTAAATAACTCGTTTATTCATTACAAGAATATTTTCTAAAGAAAAAAAAGAATAATTTTTATTTTAATTAGTGTTTTATTATTTATTTTGTAATTTTTTTTATATCTAAATTTTAACAACTTTTGACCTATTAAAATCTTATTTATTATTTTTTTCTAATTGCAAGTTAGATGATCCTTGGCTTCACACAGGTTTGACACGACAAAAAACAAAATGTACTTTCCGTGTTACCAAAAATATTTATATATAATTTTTTTGGGTAATTTCGGGCTTGGAGAAAACGCTTTTAACTCGTTTGTCATTTCATATTAACAGGATGCGTTACCAAAATCATAATTATTGTTCGAGAACGTTGTCCATTCTGACTTTCTTAACAACGCTGTTCCACTAGCGACTGTTTTATTTAAATTAATTTGTTACAATGAAGATAACCACGTCCCTTTGGCCGAAACGTCTGTTGTAATTTTTGTAATAAAGTAAATTTTTTAGCAAATCCAACCGGCTCCGGCTCTATAAGCTTGTTTTTTCGCCAATATTATTATAATAAGAAAAAGAGTAATACCTTTATATTATTTGTATAAAAAAATTTCTTTTTAACAAATTTTATTTATTATTTTAGTGATATTTATTGCTGCTTTTTATTGTCATTATAAATACTTTAGTAGAGCAGCAGATTTCCGCGGAAATTTACACGTCAGCGGATATGAGCAACATTATAGTCAAAATGTTAATCATTTTGGTAAGCCACAAACATTCAGGAAGAAATATTATCTTCATCCTAGTCAGTCGTTTCGACATTTAGTGTTTCAGTAATTTATTACTGCTTTTTAATGTTATTATAAGGGGAGTCTGCCTACATTCCCGATTACCAACGGCTTCGTTTGCCTACAATATTTTGCTGACAGCTTTATTTGCCGACATTCCCGATTGCCTACACAGCGATTAACTACAAGCATTATTGCGCATATGCAAAAATTAAAAATACAAACGTACGTTTGCACACATGACATTATTTCGCACATACACATTGCACACATAGTATTATTGTACACGTCAAATAAGGAAATCAACACATTATACTGAAAAATTTATAATTAGACGATTTCACGTGGGTTTGCAACTTTCCACGCCAAGCGAGAACCAACTCACATCACCCAATGCTTCAGATGCGAGACGAGGTTTATATCATTAAGTTATATGTCATGCAATCTGTATATGCACAATAATATCCTGTGTGCAAAGTATTAATACGATTTCCTTACTTCATGTGTGCAATGTGTATGTTTGCAATAATGTCAAGTGTGCAAACGTACGTTTGTATTTTTAATTTTTACATATGCGCAATGATACTTGTAGGCAATCAAAGCTGTCGGAAAAGCATTATAGGCAATCGAAGCTGTCGGCAAAACATTGTAGGCAAACGAAACTGTTGGCAATCAAAAATGAAAACAAACGGACCTCTCTCGTCATTATAAATACTTCATTAGAGCTACAGGCTCCTGCAGAAATTCACATGTCAACGGATATGAGCAACCTTACAATCAAAATATTAATCATTTTAGTAAGCCACAAACTTCCAGGAAGAAAAAATTATCACCATCCAAGTCAGTCGTTTCGACATTCAGTCTTTTGCAATCGTTAGTGTCTAGTAGTTGAACGATTGAAATCGGGGAATTGCTGAGAATTTGTAACCCCTGTATTCGTAGGCTTCACAATTTTTAACGACTCTCTGGTAAGTGAGATAGTGCGCAAGACATTTTTACTTTAAATATTTAAAACGTATATATTTTAAAACTGTACATATTTTGTGTATTTTGTATATTTTATTCTTTTTAATATTAAAAAAGTTATTTTAATAAATATATCGATAAATAAAATTTATATGCAAGATTCATTGATCTCAAAGAATAACATATTAATAATAATGTTATAACGCTTTTCAGACACGTGACGCAACTTGATTATATCGCTTTTCATCTCATAAGCAACTGTTGCAAACAATCCATAACCATACGCAAGGATGTTTTCTGAAAATGATCTCGGCAAAGATTATTCCAGCATATCTAAACACGAACTATTATTGCATGCTTGTAACAACAAAAGACATCTTGACGAAAGTTTGCGAAGCTTAACTGAATATTTTATCTACGTGTATATCGACAGTAGTCAGAAGATCATGATGAATCATTCACTTGTGAATACAAGTAGAATTACAAAATTCAAAGATTTATGTAACAAAGATATTGTAGGCAGACACTTTCCCATCACTGATGTCATAAATGAATTTTATCTTTTTTTTGAGCTAAACCGTGTAATTGTAGATAATTTCGAGACCTTATTAAATATCAAAAAGTACATTCTGCCAATTTTAATTATTCCGGGTCTTTTAGGAAACTGTTTGTCCGCCATTGTGCTCTTCCGTAAAAAGATGCGTTCTTCCTCGTCCAACATCTACTTGGGCATGCTAGCAATAAGCGACATCGCCTATTCAATGTTATTATTTATAGACTGGCTCTTTTTAATGGATATAAATCTAAAAAAAAATTATTTGCACTGGTTATATACCTTTGTTGGCTTTCTGAACTTCTTTTCCGAGTTTTTGAGTGTGTGGCTTATAGTAGCCTTCACCATCGAGAGATATATAGTGACAAGGTATCCGCTTCTACGTCGATCTTGGTGCACTATCAAACGAGCAAAAATCGTAGTGATCATACTAATGGGACTGGCAATTTTGCGCAGCATTTTAAATATTTACTTTTTTTATGGAACTATACACTATGAAATATTTAGAGGAAGAGAAATGAGTACCTTTGATGCATATAAACATCTACAACTTGACCTTCAACAAGGAATTATTCTGAAAACGCACATAATGGATTCTATGTTAATATTTACTCTACCTGCTCTCGTGATAGTAATCTGCAATACTCTGATAGGATGCCATATTTACCATCAACATCATGTTCGCAAAACCTTGATTACAGCGTCCGACTCTTCTAATGAGAGAACTCAGATATCTAGGGATAAAATGCTTCAGCATAAGATCACAAAAATGCTTATTCTCGTTTCGAGCATATTTGTAATATTGAAATTACCTGCATATTTCATTACTTACATTCATAGTTACGTACGTATCAATAACTCATATTAAAATAATACTGACCATAATATATTGTTTATTTACTCTAAAAATGCATTTTGTATGTAACAAAAAATATTAATTAATTTTTCTCTTAAAATTTGAATTTATAAAATAATTTATAATGTTTAATTTTTACATTATAAATGACATCATATAATAATGTTTTTACATTAGATATTTACGTAAAAAAGGGATGCGTTAAAATACGACACGTTATTATTAATAATAATTCTATACGAGAGGGGTTCAACTGCCTACATTCCCATTTGCCAACAGCTTCGTTTGCCCACAACATTTTGCCGACAGCTTCAATTGCCGACATTCCCGATTGCCTACAGAGCGATTGCCTACAAGCATTATTGCGCACATTTAAAAATTAAAAATACAAACGTACGTTTGCACACAAGACATTATTGCGTTTTGTGTAGAAACTCGTAAACCCATGTTGAACCTCGCCTTGTTTAAAATTTCACGCGTAGGCGGCGGAGGACTTCGCCCCTACAGGGCGA